AATCAATAAGAGTAAACAATTTTGTCAAGAGTGAAATTACGCACATAATTTATTTTCACTGAAAAGAATGGCAATTTGCAAATTACAGAAACAAAATGGAAGTGCTGATTGAAAGGATTATAAGAAAGCTACAAAGTGGTGGTAATATGTTCAATTTTAATGTGTAAATGGAAAGAAATATAACTGAAAAGACCTCTGTCATTAAAAGAAACACTGTGCTTTATTTCAATTTGTTACCTTAAAAAATCCACACAACTTTTAAATGTTTTATCATTTAAATTATTTCCCAAACACAGATTTTAAGCAATGTGATTTTGGTTTTCTTAGAATTTCTTTAAAAATCATGTTATTTGAATATTTTACTTTGCTGAAACAATTGACTTGCTTTATCATAATGCACTAAAAAGTTTTTCTAAGCGAGGTGTATAATGTCTATTTAAACTAGCATATATTAGCACAACATTATATCTTCTGACTTGAAAAAGATTATACAGTATAGAGAGTGATGCTACTGGCAGCATCCTCATACATTATTTAATTACAATTCTTGTATTTTATATCTTAATTTCTCATTTTCCCCCATGGAGTTTTCTCCTGTTTACAAAATTCAAAACGGTTGCAGTGGAAAATATTTGTTTCTGTTGTAATCTTATCTTATTAAGAAAAACTACTCTCTTTTTCAATTGTCAGATTGAACTGGCTCATATTTCTTAACAAAACTGTTGGTGAATATTGCCTTGGTATATTTTTTTTTCCCCAGCAGAGCACTGTTCAGACTGTAATTCTTCTCTGCATGGCATAGGGAATTGTTTCAGACATCATTTATCATCAGTACCAAACCTCAATACCCAGTGATGTTCATTCCTTGTCCCTTACATATGAAACAGCATATTTATGTGTTGAAGGAGGGTGCATTTTTTCTGAAACTCTAAGGTTTGTACCAACAGCTTCATACAGCACTCATACAAATCAATAATCATACAAAATATCTGTAATGAAAACTTATACAAAGTCATTTTTGAAAGCATGGAACAAAAATAAAACTTCTATTAAAATAAGACTTTCTAAATATTATGTATTAAAGTCTTATCTGTACTTATTTAATATGACTTAGTCTGATACCTTAATTCATGCAGAGCAGGACCTAATTCCAAGAGCATTTCAATTAATGTCAGTGTTGAGGATTAGGTTTGTACTAAGCTTACTAAAGCATATAATATTAACACATTATTTTTCTGCCCGCTCAGGCGACTAAGAGAAATATGTTTCACCACCATGTTTAAACACGATTGTTTTGTAGAATAAACAAGGCCTAGAGAATATTGACTGTAAGTTAATTAGAATTTGATTTAATGGATTTAGAGGACTGCAAATTAATCCTTTAAGCAGGGGTAAGGCTCCTTGCAAGAGTCTTACTCATACAGGACTTTATAAGCAACATATAGAATATAAAAAGTGGCTTCAGATATCTGACATCCTCAAACCTATAGCATCAGTGTGCACTTTTTTCTCTATGGAACAAGGAAGTAGACATTAACATCAATGGAGAATTACCTAGTTTGAAGGGGAAAAGTACTGACTGATTGAATAGACTTGCTCCATTTTCTGAAACCTAAGTTTATATGGTCCTGTCGGAGAGAGCTTGTAAATGATCCATCTTTGTTTTAAGATGTTGCATATTTCAAGAAACTACTTGCAATATTAATGAATTTGAAAAATATAATATAGGGACCAGGATACTAAACTTCAGTAACCATACAGTAAATGTGCCCTTCTGGTCATAATGAATTCATCTTTCTTGCTAGCAAGTGCTGGCTGTAGGAATGAGGTAAGACCCTTGTGTCCTTCTCAAAGCATTTTTGGTAATAAAATTCATCAATATATCTGCTTAAGTCTTTTACAGTCACTTTACATCCAGTAGCTTATTTATTTGAACAATATCTGCTTTTATATTCAGCCCTCAAAACAAATTAAATAAAAATACAGAAGGCCAACAAGCAATACAGAATTATTTGGCCTCCTTTTGGAAAAAAAACACAAAAAAAAGAAAATATAGTGAGATGAAAGGCAAAAGAAGTAAATTAAGCCAAGAAATAGGTGCTGCAAAGATTATCCTATTAAATTGCATGTAATACCAATGCAGAGGACCCACACAATAGTTCATATTGAAAAGCCCTCTGAATATACATGATTATCCTCACTTGTTCCAAACTGTGAATATGAAAATTAGGATTATGTGTTTTATCAGATTTTATTTTTTTCAGTAAAACTAGCAAGAACATTTTTATTGCATGCTAATTTTTTTCTTGCCTGTGATAAAATTATATAGTCTCTGAACCATAAAAAGTACTGCTTTATTTTCAGAAATGAAGCAAATCCTCAATAAAGTCACCAGGATGGGAACAAAGATCCACTGCTATAGTGTGGCCACTGTCCCACACGAGCTAGGGAATCTGGCCAACCATTCTCAGCAACCTCACTCCTCTCTCTTTTCAAGGAGAGTTTTAAATCTGACTAATTAATTTAATGCCTAATTGTTAAAGTCTACTTGTTTAATAAATAGAACTGGTCCTGAAGATCAGGATGAAAGTAGTCTGATTTATAGTAACTGATCACTTTCAGCAAAAGTCTTTCTGCTCTTGGAAGGCCGAACAGGGGTACAAATTAAGAAAAAAGATGGATTTAATGCTTGGAGTTCTTTGAGATAAGATAGTCATGTACACAAATGTTTGTAGGCTTTAGCCCTGTTCTAGCTGCAGTTATATATATTTACCTGAGTGGTCTCAGTGAATGCAGTGTAATTTATAATGTGTTTATGTATCTGTACCTGAGTGTAAAGATGGGTCTTGATCCTGAACAAAGCTGTGCATGAGATTGATTCTGTATAATACAAGTGGCTCTGTTGTCATGATGAAACTATTCTTTGCAGTAAATTTGTATTCAATTTTTTTCCAAACTAATGCCAAAGATGCCAGAACCACAAAGCATTACAGGAAAAGCCAATCAAATATGCAAACTGAAAATCCCCAGATTACTTAATAGTAGTTTTTAGTATTCTCTGCTTTCAGTGCATGTAAATAATTCTTTACACAAGACTAATGAAGATAGTTTCTTTTTCAACACAGTCCTTTCTGACTTTGGATATTGTCTATAATACCTAAGAAAAGTAAATATCTCTTGGATATCTGTGCTATTATTTTGTGATTAATAATTGCTGTGGTGAAAAATCCTCTCAAGTGGTGCTTAAGAAACTAAATACAGTTTTCATAATCTTCAAAATCAGCATACCATTTTTTTATCAGACTCAAAGGCTTCACTATAGATGATGAGGTTTAGTGGTCACTAAATGTGCATAATACTTTCTCCTTTATCTAATTTCTTTGGCAGGATTGCAGAAGAGGAGTTTGTAAGCAGTTCCCCATCCCTCTTTAGTGGAGGTGTACCTGATAGTAATACACTTGAAGTGGAGATTTCTTTCAGTTATCCCACAGTCTCTAGTCCATCAGTTACCTTCTGCCTCTGCTACTGATCTCCTCATTCAAATGAGTCTGAGAGACATAATGAAAGCAAATGGCTTTTGTTTCTGTTATTTAGTTGAGTTTTCTTTCTAGTAAAGTAAAGCAACAGAAATCAGCAACTGTAAATGGAACTGAGAGATGTGTAAATAGTTTAGGAAAACAGCACCATATTCCTGATTTTAAAAAAAATAAAATATGGGAGCCATTTTTTTTAATCACTAGGAAGCTATAAGTCCATGTTTGACTTTTATTGACCTCAGTAAATCGACTCTCATCTGTGAGAGTTTGCCTCTTACGGAAATGCCACCACAATGTGCAGATGGGCTATCTTCTTATCTGCTCCAAGCATTGTGTGTCCCTCAGGGTGTGGTGATTTTCAGCAGTTATAAAGCTTGTACTGCACTTCTGGGATATGGCAGCCAGCTCCTCAGCCTGCTTTGCCACAGCAGTATCCAGACAGCTATGCTTGGTCTGTATGCTGGGTTATAGGTGCTTTAGAAATGGGAATATACTGGTCAACGCAATTTCATTGGTTTACATGGTGACTGCAAGACAGTCATTATTTTTATATGTGGTTGATATAATTAGGCGACCATCTAAAGCAATGGGTTTTTTTGCTAGTGTCTTTGTTTCCTTAAAATGCTGAGTAAACCCTTTTGCATTCTAGTGTATTCCTTATGCATTGATATATACTGCTTTATTACTGTAAGCCACATATATTTGTTTTTCTGTGTAAGAAGTGCCAAACCCAGCTCAATAAAAAAAGATGACAGAGGGTTGGTTTGAAGGGCAGGGACTTGGCAGGGAATGAGCCTGGGTGTGAATGAGAGCAGGAGTCACAGGTGCGCTCCAGGTGAGGGCACCTGCCAGTCTCAGGTGAGCAAAGGCTTCCCACTGCAAACTGAAACAGCACAAACCAGGAAATAAAAAGAAATATTCATTCAAGCTGTCCACATAAGAGAATGGTGAGGAAGCAGGCAGGTCGGCTTGGTTAATCATTCCAAGACAGACTTTGCAGATATGCACCATTGATCATAGGACAGGACTCCATCTGAGATAAGAAAACACCCATCCCAAGCAGTAGGAGTTAAGTAGCTACTCTTGCTTAGGTGTTTGGCCATGATTGTTTTGCTGTGGCAGAAGAGGCTCCACTCTTCCCTGTTGTTCCCAGAGCTCAGCCCAGCACAGCTGATGTGTTGCTTTCCCATTCTGAAGAGAAAGTGAGAAATTCTCTCCACATGTTTTCTGGTACTTGAATGCTCAGGTTTCACTCTCTAACCAGGAGCTGCCTGTAGTGAGCTCTCAGTGGGACTCAGGAGCTTCCAGCTGTGCCAAGAGTGGTTTCGTTTTGTGCCGAAGGAGGACAGGGAGAAGAAATCCACAAAAAGCTAAAATTTTGCTGGTACCAAAATTGGTCTAAGGGTCTTGCACTCAGGAAAAGCAAGAAAAAAGCAGAAGCAGAGGAAGGAACAAGGAACCAGGATGGGAAACTTTATCCGGAAGCACTGTTGCTGTTTGAAGCCATGCTTCCCCTGCCTATTCTTGGACACAAATGACAAGCAGGATGACAAAGCTGGTGAAGTCTTTGTCAACATAGCTGTGGTAAAGCCTGACTCCCAAGAAGGACAGAAAGACCTAGAGAATAACAGAGAAGAGGAACCTTTACCTCCACGGCCTGGCCAGGGTCTAGTGAACATTTACAACTATGTGGCACTCTTTGACTATGATGCTCGCACCGAGGAGGACTTGAGCTTCCGAGCTGGAGATAAGCTGAAAATACTGAATATATCCAGTGAGGGCTGGTGGTATGCAAAGCTCCTCCAGCCAACGGGATCAGCCTGTCCTGGCCGCAAGCTCCAGGGCTACATCCCTGCCAACTACATCGCTGCTGACCAGAGCATCGAAGCTGAGCCGTGAGTAACTCACGTAATGTGCACCACAGACTCTTTTCTGTTATGTTTAAAGGGGTTTGGGACACGAGGTTACAGTCTTTTCTCTTCTGAGTAGTACCCTGCTACACTCAGACTCTGGTTGGCCTAGCAGTGGTAGTGCTAGTTGGTGTGTGCAAGGAAAAGACACTGTGGTCACAAGAAAGTTAATTAGAAAAGGCAGAGCATGGAGGGTTTTCTTTTGGTTCAGATAAATTCCCCCTCTGATATGCCCTAATCACTTGTGTAAGAAGCATCTGGGAAGATCAGGTTGATTACCACTGTGATGATTCATTATTTCTGTTTGTATAACGGTAAAAGTATGTCAGGTGCTTCCCAGAGAGCAAAAAGATATGACCCCTGCCCCAAACAGCATTCAGCCTAACCAGCTGCAAAGTTGCCAATTAATCAGTTTCAGGAAGCTACCTTTTACACCCTTCCAACTTTTTACAAATGATGAGTGAGTCTTTAAAAGATAAGTTTCTTATAGTTTCTTCTACATTTGCTTCTTCTTTGGAGGCAAATCTCTACTCTTTTACAGGAGTAAGACTCAACTGAAGCAAGTACTGCAAAGGGCAAAAGAGTGGATTTAGCAATTGAGTACAAATGGAAGTTGTTAAACTTTCACAGTTTAATTATGCAGCCCATGTTTTTCTGCCCATTCAAAACATGGCCAATCTTATTTAATATTCTGAAATAGAGCAGAAATCACACAGAATCAGTTACTTGGCTCCTTAGTGAGGATGAGTAAGGTCTAAGTCAGTCTGGGATGCACAGTTATTTCTGTGTCTTGCAGTCAGAGGCAGCATTTGCTGAAATAGGTCTGACTGCTGTTCCAGAGGTATATTTTGGCAGAAATTATGAGTGTATAAAGATGCAGCAGAAAGGGCATTCATTATTAGTCTCAGAATTAATGTTGACTTTAGGGGGATTATGTTGAAGTTTTCAGTTAAATCTCATTTGGGCCTGAAACATCATCTCTGATCTGATCTGTCTACTGTACTGTCAAGGGCTAGTAAAATTGGCTCAGATATGATTATCCCAGTCTTTTATCAGCTGTAGGATTTGTGATAGAGGCATTTTAGGGCAACTCTAAGATTCCTCTCCAACCTGAAGACCTTAATTTCCAGAGTCTGACCAACTGTTTCTATTTCTGTATTCAGGCAGACAACACTTTCAGTGGTCATGTTCAAAAAGATTCTTCCAATTGCAGAAATTAATCTTCAAAAAAGGCATTTTATGAACCACTAGAGAAACAGTGGTAGGCTCTAATTCAGCTCAGCTTGGCCTTTGCTCTCTTTCAAGAGCTAGTTTTATTACAAGTCATCTAAAATTTCTTCTTGCTCTTAATACTTTCAAAGTAATTTTGCTCAGTTATACAGCATCTCAGCTCTTAAGGTCCTTCTTATCTTGCTACACCCACAGCAACAAATACAAAGTTCAGTTCACCAAAGTGCGTTATTATGTAACCTCTGGTTCTTTACTTTTTACTGAATCAATTTTATTTTGTTCTACTCTTTTTATATACTTTTCTCCTGTTAAGAATAAAGACTAAGTTATGGCAAGCCATTTTTCTTTATAGATTGCTAGAACACTGAAGAGGGAAAAATATGGAGAGCTTTTACAGCTCTCAGATGAAGTAATTTCTCTAAAATGAGTTTTTAATTTCATAGCAAGACTAATCTGGCTAAACATGTTGTCTTTTCTCAGATTTCATTCTAAGTCAGTTGGCTTTAGTCATCTTCATACGTATACAAAACTGCTGTCAGGCCACACACCTATAACCATTGGCTAACTCATGTTTGAAAGGACATCTGAAGGACATTTGCAGCAGTCATTCCAACTCAAACACAGCCAAAATAAAGTTACACCTGTTTGTGTTGTCAAGCATTTCCAGCTGAGTTTTCATCCTCACTGTGAGGATTTTCTTGTCTCGTGTCAAAGTGGAATATCCATTCCTACAATTTCCTCCAAGAATTCCCTTTTACCCACCCTCTGTTATCTTAATGAAGCAGTAAAAGCAAGAGTAATGATGGTTTAAAGAACTAATGCCTGTTGTCCCTAAAGTAAAGACTGCAAGTGAAAAAAAATGTTGTTCATGTCTCTTTAATTAAAATTCAATGCTTTAATCATATTCCCTGCCCAAACTTAAATTTAACTTCTCCCATCTTTCCATTTTGATTTTAATTCCCTTTGGTATTGGCCAATCGTTCGTGGCCACGATATGGGCATTTGTGGAAACAGGCAAAATGATTAGTGCATCCTTGTATCCTATACAGCAGTCCTTTTTGGTCCCAGCACTGACAAAGAATGAAAGACTTACAATCTCATGTTCACCTGCCAAAATGCATATTTACCATATATATGCAGTGTTTATGCTTTGCAATCTGCCAGGCACACCCAATCAACATTCTTTGATCTAGCTGAATGCACATGTCCTGGCATGAGCCAGCTTCTGTGTATCTGCAGAGACAATGGGAATTTTAGCTGATTTCTGAGCTATAGCTCCATCTTGACAAACTGGCTATACTGTTCTGAGAAATATACTTGATTCACAGTGTGACTTCACTTGGGAAGAAAACTAAAATAACCACATTCTTTAGGAGCTGATTTCAGCATGTTTCTGTAGAAACTATTAAAAAAATTACATTTGTATGCATGCATGGCTCTCCCATAAATTCACTTAAACAGAGGGATAGAAGGGCATAAAATGTTCTATAATGGCAGAGATGACAGGACCACTCTGTAAGTTTAGCCAATATATGTTTGAAAGCAACGTGAAGAGCAGTCAAATATCTTTTGCTAATTTTGCAGTTTTGCCTGTAACATTCAAGATTATTAAGAACAAAATATATCTGACTATCTTTATCGATATTTTGACATGGTCTTTATTATAGACAATTAGAGATCAGATAGTCCATCTGGATCTCTGTTGTCTATTCTGGCAGAGGAGAGTACTAGGTCATTGCTCGTTCTCATCAAGTGCTGCAGCAGACCATTTTGTTTTCTCGCTGAAGTGTCTGTGATTTATTTCAGGGAGAAAGAGTTTGGTTTTTTTACTATCTCTTGGTAAGAAATAGAATGAAGTAAAGTAAGAAGGAAAGTGAGAAATTCTTTAGATAACAGTTTTGCTTACTGGAAGTCTCTCTGACTCTGTCCAATATGGCCAAAGTAACGCTGATAAGGTGGATCAATAACTGGATGAAAGAGCAGAAAGAATGTGCATTATCTCCAGTCTGGGGAAAACAAAAAATAAACACTATTCACAAAAGAGGGAATTTTCATATATTCTTGGTGATCAGAATATTCTTTAAGGTGTTGTGCTTCTCCAACCAAAGTTTATTGGTAGAAGTTGTATGCTAAAATTGAAGGGACACATCTTTATTTTATAGTTTATTGATATATTTATATTTTATAATAGAATTAACTTATGGCAAAAGTCAAACACTTCTGATTGGAAAAAAAAAGCTTATTTTCCTTCCTTCCTTTGGCTTGAGCAATCCCTTCCTGGGTGAATGACTTGGATGAAATCAGTAACAATTTGTGTAAATAGGGGGGAAAAAAATGTATGTCGTGGCTTTAGTTCTGCCTGCTGCAGCATTGCAGTCCAAGCATGTGCTGCAAAAGATTAACTACATCCAAGAAGTGCACACTGGCTACCATGAAGTCTGATTTGGACAGAGTTAGGAAACAAGGCCCTTCATTTTTTTATATTTACCAGTAAACCATCTCCTTCCTGCTGCCCTGTTCTAGCACCTGCAGTCCTCCTTATACCAACAACAACCTGTCAGGTGGAGATATTGTGAAGGGATCGTGCTTAGTGTCTCTGGAGACAGGTGTGTTTTCCTGGCCCCACCTGGGGTAGGTGGGACAAGGCAGTTGGGGAGTAGAAGCATTCATCTAGCAAACTGTAGTCACACAGTGAGCTTTCTTTTCATGAGGAAGTAAATCTGGTACCACAAACTCATTATTTTAAATAATATCTGATCAAAACATAGACATGAACTACAGTAATGATAAAGAATCTGGTACCACAAACTCATTATTTTAGATAATATCTGATCAAAACACAGACACAAACTACAGTAATGATAAATTAGCAACCGCAATAACACTCAGTGCTTTTCTTCTCTTTGCATCACAGGTAGCATTCAAAACCACGAGCCAGAGAGATTTTTCATTTCTAAGCTAGTTTGAGTGAGGTTGTATCTACTGCATCCCATGAATTTGGGATGCTCTTCTTTCCGTGTTTAGAGACATAACATTTGGAAAAAGGGAAACAAAAAACGCAATTGGAGATACAATCACATAATTTAACTTGCACATCCAGAAAATGATGATCAGAAAGAACAGTTTGACAAACACCAAAATCTGAATTGAAATATGAATTTCTGTGACAGACTGTGATCTTCCTGTCTCTGTTCCCTTTCTGTGCTTGTTGTTCTGAACTACAAACAGGAACCATAGTAACACTTCACCTGCCCTTGTTTTATTACTGCCAGTTGTTTACACTAAACAAGAAAATTACATAGTCCAAATTGTTGTGAACAACAAATATAGCCCAGCTGTACAGTTAATTTTAATGAAGCAAACATAAAAGAAAACACCTTACTGTTGGAGTGACATGAATTCCTTTTTTCTAGAGGAAAGGTAGAGTGTACTTAGAGGGGATTCTGGCCTGCTGTCCTGATGGACCTCTTGGCTGTTTATTGAAAGTCAACTTACAACAACAAAATCATAGAATCATTAAGGTTGAAAAGGACCTCTTAGATCACTGAGTCCAACTGTTAACCCAGCATCACTGTGTTCACCTCTAAACCATGCCCCCAGGTGCCACACCCATATGTCTTTTGAACACTTCCAGGCATGGTGATTCCACCAGTTCCCCATGCAGTCTGTTCCAATGCTTGACAACCCTTTCTGTGAAGAATTTTTTTCTAATATCCCTTGTTGCCTGAAAGAAGAGATCAACCGCCAACTGACTG